AATGCAGCCTTTTGTCACTCTGACAACTCACAGATTTCAGTGAACCCTCTTGCAAAAACGTAGCCGAGATGATGTCTGCTCGTGCGTGCGTGTTTATGTGTGTATATATGTGTGTGTGAGAGAGAGTGTACAGTTCTACTTTACGGCAGACCTCAAAGTCTCTTTATCGCACACTTAGCCCCGAGAAGCAAGAGGGCTCGTGAAATGGCCTGGGCCAGTTTTCACAACTTGCTTCCGTCGGCAAGGCGACTTGCACACAATTCCGTCCAAGAATGTACCAGATCGACGATCCGATGCTGGAAATCATCAAGTCTATCACGCCAGAAAACCTCGAACATGGTGAGCAAATTCAAATCCCCTTGACAACTCAACCAAATTGCGAATTCGAGCTGAAAATACTTGTACTCCCGAAAGGAGACTCTGACCAAAAGATCGACCGTCCTAGGCGGGCGATGTTCGAAGGATGTTCTCGTAAATCAACAGTCATAATGCATCTTTGGGTTCCCGCAATATTAATTTTTGATTGCTTCCTTGTCAAATTTTGTTTCAACAATCAGATGAGTATGCCCTCATTTCCATTTAATTTCGCAGAGCCTTGCTTCCCAAAAGATATTCACATTCAGACTGGATTGGGCCACGGCCTCGACCTCACCAGAATTGGTCTCATCAACACCCCTGCTGGACTCGAACTTGTGTTCTGATTGCGCAGATTGTAATCTCGACATTGCCACAACGACAATTATATACAATAATTGCTGCTTGCTTCGTTACCCACTTTATATAAATCTAAGTAACATACACGGTTCTGATGGTGAAATACAAGTTTTAAGTTAATACTTCGGTTTCGGGCATACCAATAAATCATATATCTGGGGTGTATTCAACTGATCTCGTTTAAAATTCAGTTATTAGTCACTCTATCATCGTAAACGAAGCCTCATATACAATACAAGTTTGCCTCATTGACAACCTCATTGTAAAAATGTTATATAAATGTCCTGTGACCCAAGGGCGACCGTTGTTGTATGGAGGGGTTATTACATGTCGGCAATATACGATGCCCCACTAAAACCCGGGTTCGAATCCCACTTGGGGTGCTATTGAGGCCTGTTCAGGCGAGGTCGAAGTTGCAGTCCAGTCTAGTCCAGACTGGAAATTGAATAATATCCTGTGGTCTATTAATCTGTTCGTGAAAAATGCCAACTAGCGATCCTTCTATGAATTTTACTTTTACCTTTCCCTTAAAATGCCACCTTCGGCCACTCTGACAAACTAAACTCATTTCAAGAAATTCACATTCACAAGGCCTGAAAGTCGTAGACCAATTTTGACCGATTTCACCGCTCTCAACGCGGCAGAGCAATCGGACAAGGTCTGCCCAACTGACGCGCCAACCAAGCGAAGAATTCCACAGGAATCTGTGCCGAGTTGCGGTGAGTACTCGCAGAAAAACACGGTCGAGGTGACGCCACGAGCGAATAGAATCTGTTCGTCAGACCCGCTTGCTTGTGCATTTCCTTTTTGCAGTAGTGCTCTCTTACATTGTGAGTGTCACTTTACCATGGCGACCGTCGCAGGTACATGTGCGCGACAGGAGATTGCTTCAAAGGCCTGTGTGCACTTGTGCAGACGACAATGTAGACCGACGATCGGTGAGAATGAGGTTGCAATAAAATCATGATCTTGTTCCCAGACCGTCGTTAGGCTTGATGCTTTTTGTCGGGGCGCCGATCGAGCTGCAGATCGTGTCGGTCTTCCGTCCGACAGATGATCTGCCCTCTCTGGCTCATCTTTTAATCCCTTCTTCGTGACTTTCACGCTCGTGTGCAGAAGAGACTCTCCAGCCTGTCTCTCACGGCAACAACTTTTCGTATTCTGAACATGGCAGGCTGAAAGCTTGCTGCTTCCTACGACAATTTGACCTTTCCAAGTCTCGGGTTCTCTGGCGAAAAGTGCCAAAATTCATGTCCAAAAGCGTAAGCTTTGGGATCATATATTTGATATAAATTCACCCTATTTCATGTAGGGTGTAAAAAGGACGGGGGTCGAAAACCTGGCCTCC